TAAAATACATAAATTCAATTTAAATTGGTCACATTTGATTGAAGTCATTGAAAATGTGATAAGCGGAGCTATTTTACTGAATCCAGTTCTAGTTATTTTACCCACTGTGTGAGTGCTACCAAACACTAGGTGGTATGCCTAGGTGTTCTGAGAGACAAAAGGTTAATTAGAAGTAAAATCAGTAGAATGAAGCTGGATTAATATTTTCCACAATGAATACAGGTACAGGATCATAAACACTTGGAAGAGAGATTTCAGCAACAGCCCACCCCCCCCCCCAAAAAAAAGCACGAACTAAAGGCTATGTATATATGTATTGTTTTACATCATTCTTCATTTTGTACATTTTCCCTCTCAGTTGTAATCCCCATGGGCTTTCCACCACCACTTCACCCATGTGCCATCACCATAGTCCCGTGTGCTCTTCCCGCTCCAGCTTTTATCCTGTTCTCCTCTCCATCCCTGTAGAATATCTCTGGTTTATGTTTGTTGATTTTTGTTTTTACTTTATTACAATTCTCTCCCCCCACTTCCCTGACCCCTTACATGCCTGCTATGAGTGAACCATCAGGTACTTTTTTTCTTTCTGCCTTATTTCACTAAGCATGATCCCTTACAGCTTCATCCACGTTGCTGCAAATGGCATGAGTTTGTCCTTTTTGATGGCAGAGTATTATTCCACTATGTATGTGGACCACATCTTCTTGATCCAGTCATCTATTTTTGGGCGTTTGGGTTGACTCCACATCTTCCCTATTTTAAATAGAGCAGCAGTAAACATGGGGGTGCAGAAGTCCTTTTGAATTAATGTTTTTGTGTCCTAGAGGCCATTTTATGAAACAATGTAGAACAGAGGGAAAACCTGAGGTTTTTGCACACTTTCCACTCCAACTGTGTCCTTCTGGAAGCTGTGTGTACACGCAGGCCAAGTCCCCAAATTTCTTACTGCACTCCAGATCCAGACTGAAATGAATGGGTACTCTTAGTTGACTGAGGTTAAATGGAAATGATTTGTGGAACGAGGGAAGATTCTGGAAGTGAATAACCAGCTGACATTTTGCTATGGTGGAGGTAAAGGCCCAGGCAGGGCTCCATGCTGAACTGAGAGGGCAAACTGAAGTCTGGGTTGTTCATCCACAGCCATTGAAAATCCTCAAGACTTGGGGGAAAGTGCTCTGTCACTGTATTTTAAAATGTTGATTATTTTGCTTTCTTTCTTATTTTAAAGGTAACACATTTTTATCACCTTTTCTTGACTTTTTAATTTTAGTTGTCATCTGTTTCCCTACCCCCAACATCCTTTGCCTTTTCCACCTTGCCAGTATAGTTATAATTTGGCTAATATTAGCATTTAGAGTTTGTTATTTTTGTTATGGAAACTGTATAGTAAATTAATGGCTGGCACACATTTTCATTTGACTTGTACTGAATAATCAGTCCATTTCTTCTCAATGGGTTATTTTAGACTCCCCCAGTTTTCTAAAGTTTCTCTTGTGAAATTCTGACACATGAGATATTAGTTTCATCTCTTTGAAGAAATCTGAAGTGATTGTATCTTTGTGCCTGGTACATCATTTTGATCACGACACCTACCTGTCACCCAGGGGTTCTCTTGTTTCTGCCATGGTTCATCTCTCTTATCCTCTGTCTCATGTCCCATGCTCTTTCTTACCGTTTTTTTTTCCCCCAAAGAGGACATCATTTCATAGATTTCTTAGAAGCATGCATGGACCTTCATTTGAGATCCTAAATGTTGAAAAATATTCTTCATTCGGCTAGCAGTGTTTTCTTTATAATTCTGGTGCATTGTTTCAGTAAATTCTAGCTTCCAGTGGTATATTAAGAAGGCTGAAACCATGTGGACTCCTGATCTTTTGTATGTGACAAAAAGATCTTCTGTCCTGCCCCCTGCTGGTAATTTGTGGAATCTTCTAACTCTGGTTTTTTGAAATTTTTGTCATGTGCCTTGCCACACATCTGCTTTTTTTCCATTTTCTTGGGTACTCATTGAACCCTTTTAATTTAGGAACACACTTGTAGGAAATTTTCTTCAACTCTTTAAGTTCCTGTTATTTTTCATATATATTTTTGTTGAACTTATTTGGCTATTACCACCCACTTTCTAGAAGATTTCCTCAGATTATCATCGAATCTGTCTTTCTATGAAGCTTACCCTTTCTCTGCCATGGTTATAATTTACAAGTACTCTTTTTAATTTTTTTTAAAAGACTGATTATTTATTCATATGGGACTGGGGTACAGGCCAGAGATGCGGAGGGTGAGAGGATTCACCAGAGACAGAGTAGGGAGCAGAACAGGCAGATCGACGAAGTACACTGCTGAGGGGAGCAGTGGGCGGGTCAGGAGAGGTCTGCCTCGCCATGTGAATCTCCTCCGGGGCAGGTGGGGATCGAACTCATGCGGAAGTGACTTAAGCTTCTTAGTGCTGTGCTTTAACCTGCTACACCACCAGGGAGGACCACTCTTTTTAATTTTTTAAAATGTTCTCTCAATAACATCCCATTATTTTCTCTTTCAAATAGCATCTCCTCTCTTACTAAGGTTTCCCCTTAGGGCCTCCCTGGTGGCACAAGCAGTTAAGTCTAGCACCACGAAGGGATCTGCAGCCACTGCAACACAAGGTAGATCCCTGGCCAGAGAGTGACCCATAGGACGCAGCAGACCTCTCCTGTCTCCCTGCTGCTCCCCTCAGCAGTTTATTTTAGTCAGTCTGCCTGTTTTGCTCCCCACTCTGTCTCTGGTGAATCCTCTCACCACCCCCACTGCACCTCTGCCTGTGTCTCAGTTCTTTTGTACATAAATAAATAAATCTTTTTTTTTTTTTTAAAAGATTTTCCTTTAGTTTCATTGCTTAATGAACTCCACTTCATTATCTGTCTCCTCAATAGAATAAAGGTTTCATAAAGGTAAACCTTTATTTCCTATTTTCTTTTTTACTGATATTCCCCCCAGCACCTCAAATACACAGTAAATATTTAAATATTCTTGGAATAAACAGAATGATCATTTCAATGATAATAATACACTTTAAATTTTTTTCTCCTAGAATGTGATCTGTTGACTTGAGGGTAATGTTTTCTATTTTTAATGCTCTAGGATAGGTTAGAGAATTTTCTGCAGATACTTAGTAATACTTTACCAACTGGATTATTTAAGAATGAGTCTTTGAAGGATTGATTTGGAATATGTGAATACATAGGTGGACTTGTCAAATGTTGGCTTCATGGTAGAATGTTCTGGCAGGGAGGATCTCCATCTTATATTGCTGTCTGAATCTTATTTGCTGACTGGTCCAGTTTTACTCCATCGTGGCTAGAAGCAGAACTTAATTTGATTAAATGGCTTACCATTTTCTACTCCTCTTTTGTAAATAAAGTGTTATTTGTAACACTGTTTTGGTGCAAGGCCTTTCCCATAAAAGTGTTCATGGATCTGGTTTGTTGGTTTTATTTCTTTTTGTTTTTAAAGTACCTGGTGATTTAAGTGCCCAGTCTATGAGAACTATGGAGTGAAGATCCTGAGATGAATAACTCTGGAGACTTTTGTCATTCTCTGCTTGTAATGAAAGGCCATTGTAGGTCTTGGGCCTCTGGAATTTTGACCCACTGATGTGTTTCATAAATTTAAAGATATTTTTTAAAGTTTTGCATAGAGGGACTGGAGTGCAGGCCAGAGGTGCATAGGGTGAGAGGGTTCTCTGGAGACAGAGTGGGGTGCAGAATGGGTGGATCTACTGAAATCCACTGCTGAGGGGAGAAGCGGGGAAACAGGAGAGGTCTGCTGCACCCTGAGGGTCACTCCCTTCCTGGTTGGGGATTGAATTCAGGTCTGTAGTGATGATAGTGCTGAGACTTAGCCCCTAGGCCAAGTCTTTCCATGAAAGAGGGATGGAGAGAAATCATTGATGGGCCCACATGGTTTATTGTGAGTACTGGCTCAGGATGAAATTATTCTGAGTTACTTTTGTAAAGCACCCTGAACTCCATCTTCTTGCTTGTCTGATCCTGCTAGGTTAAATCAAAATTGATTTGCAAAACCTTTCATGTTCTTGACACTTTGCTATTATTTATTTTTAAGTTACAGAAAATTTTCCAAATATTAGCACACATATTACAATTTTGCAAATAAACTATAGAATTATATAGATCATGGTGTATTTTTGTTAGAAGTTTCTAAAGAATGTGGTTTAAGTTGCTAGTGTGTGATAATAAATGTATTTCTTGTGTGTGGTGTTAAACTTTATTTATAATTCCATACCAGTTGTTTATTTTCATTATTAATTTACAATTCTGATGTTCTTAGCTTAATTCAAGTTTTTTCTTTATCTCCCAGAGTTAAAAAAAAAAATTGAACTAAAACTTTATTTCAAGGGATCATTCAAACGGGGCCAGGATTTTTAGAAACAACTTTAGTTTCCTGATAAAGGAATCAGTGAGAAAAGGAAACTGAACACTTCGAAGACTCCCTAAATAACATTTTGTCCATCACTACTGCTTTCCCTACTGCTCCCACTCCATTCACTTATAGGATTGTTGAGCTGCCTCATTGGGATTCTGGCACCCTTAGTTTTTGGACTCTCCTCACTGAGCCAGTGAGCAGTGTGATAGCCAGGAGGTCAGGAGAAAGGAGAGAGAAGCCTAGGGCCTAACACTATTTGAATCAAAATGGTTAACTTCATAGTAGTGGGGAATTGACTGTCTTTCCTGTGGTGGATTCCAGTGTTTTGGTCAATGGGCATCTCTCTCTCCCTTGTTCATATTCTCTTAATGATGACAGCCTACATCAATATTTAAATTTTGGGTAGAATGAACATAAAATAATTGGAGACAATGTATATTCCTTTTTCAAAATGAAACCTTCCAGTGGATTTAGAAAACTTATGCATGTTAATTTCTACTGCTATTCCTAGCTAATAGGTGGAAGGGTGTTTTCTTTCACTTTGTTTTGGTTCTCCTTAACAATATGCTTTTTCATTTTAGCTACTAAGTCAGGATTGTTACCTCCTCCGCCTGCACTCCCGCCAAGACCCTGTCCATCACAGGTAAGAAACAGATGTTGATTTTCTAAACTCTTTGGTAGTAAGGAAGTTGTCCTACCACTGTGCTTCCTTTGCAAGGGCTGATTGCCACAGAACTGTCTGGTCAGATGCCCAAGATGATGTCTGGATACAGAGAGCAGAGAGTGGTTGACTTCCTTATACTCTAGCCAGGCCCCTAACGTCATGTGGAAAAGGGAAAATTCCCTTAATAAGCAACCAAGAAAATGTCCTAGGTGATTTTTCCTGTAGAGAATTGCATGGGATTTTCTTTCAGAGAAAGGACTAGAAGGGACATTTCTCCAAGTGAGGGGAGGGAATGTAATTTTTCTGTGAAGTATATGTAGTCTGGGTGCGTATGTTTTGAACAGTGTTTTAGGAGCTGTGCTAATTCCGCATAAACTGAAAACAGGTGGTCATCAACATGGGCTTAGTGCTGTTGCGGTCGCGCTCAGATAGTACTGTTGCTGAGTTATGGGCTTCCTACCAGGCATGTGTTGAGGTGCGACTACCATGACACCAGTTTGTGAGAAAAGAGAGGAACTTTATGCTGAGTCAGTTGGCAAAGAGACAGGAGATAAACCGAAGTCTGACTCTCTTATTAAGAAAAGGAATGAAGTTATATATACATTTTTGGGAACTGGGTTGAGATCAAAAGGAGTTAAGTTTTATTGGCTAAAGAATGAACGAAAGGCAAACCAACATGGACTGGGGTGAAGTTTATTGGCTAGTCACAGGGCACTTCTGACACGAAGAAGCATGAAGAGGCCTTTCTTCAGATCACTGGAGTTTTGCACTTCTGTTGGGGGGCCCTGCCTCTGGGTGCCCCCCCCCCCCCCGCCTCTGGGTGCCTCCTCCCCTGGCTTTGCAGCCTCTTGGCTCTGGCCAGCTGGCTTGGATGCAGCTCAAGGTTAGTCCCTTCTGCTCTCTCAGACTGTAAACAAGGCCCAGGTTCTGCTGTCTGTGAAAGCAGACCTCAGTGAAAGCTAGAGGAGTTTGTATTCTTATGTGTTCTGGGTTTGAGAGAAATTTAACCATTTAACCCTGGTACAGTATTTCCCTTGGAACTAGACAGGAACAGTGGGAGCAGGAGAGTGTCACCCAAACCAGTGCTAATATATTCTGTCTTGCACACGTACTATGCCCTTAATCATTAACATTTCCTGTGGCATTGTAAACAGGACACAAGCAGCAATCTGGTGCGTGGTGACGGGCGCAGCAGAGCCTTCCTTTCAGTACTTGTTTCTGAGGGAACCTGTCTGTAAGAAGACCCTCTGACTTTTGGCAGAAGACCTGGCGATTCTCTCTGAGCAGTCCAGCTCTGCCTCACTGTCCTGGGTGCACAGTACAGTCACGTGTAGTGCGTCTCAGGCATTGCCTCGTCCCGAGGCAGCTTCTGACATGTACTTCTACTTCTTGTACCTAACTATGTGGCCTTTAGTGTCCACTCAACCTAGAGATGCAAATACTGCAAGGAATTGGCTTCTTACTTCAACCTAAAGGTACAGACATGTGCAAACCCCTTGTCAATACCCCAGCACTGACACTTGATACTCTTTTTTAGTGGATGAGGATATTGAGGCATGCCGGGGTTAAGCAAGCTGGCCAAGGTGACATACCAGCTCCCCAACCGGGGCCTGTCTCCAGCTCGCTCTTGCTCTGTCGTGCTTGCAGTTAAGGCTCTCCCCACGCGCCCCTGAGGAACAGCTGCATGGGAGGAGGCTCCTGACTTGGACCTTCTGCAAGTCCGAATTTTGTCACAACAGAATCGAGCTAGGTTGGGGGTGGGGGGGTGAGTCAGCCATCTGGATGGAAATGGGGTTGACCTGTCTTACTTTCTGCAGTGTCTGTGGCAGAATTACTTTCTGCTCATGAAATGCTCTCCACCTCTTGGCAGTCCCCATCTGAGCTGCTTGAGGTGGGCTTCCTGCCTGCTAGGGGACTGAGTGACCAGGATCTGACGGGGACTGGAAATTCCTAAGTCAAGGTTACTGAATGGGACTCCTGTGTCAATCAGCCAGGTTTCCTGTCACGACGGTGTAAGCAGTGGGTTCAGCACTCAGCTCAAGCCTCTGTCTCAGCCCGTTAACTATGGAGATTCAAATGACAAGAATAGTGTGTGAGAAATGCTGGCAGAAAACCCCTAAGCCACTCCCTTCCCCGACTAGTCCCCCTTCTGCCAACTGTAGGTGGGACAGACAGATACCACCTAGGAGGCCCTAGGTAAAGAGCAGGATGGTATGTAGTCTTTGTGCCACGTCAGATTCCCCATATTGGCCCCAGGAGATGCTCAACTCGCCTTCTGCATGGCTATATGCTGCATGATATATGCTGTTCTTTCCCGAGCTGCTCATGATGAAGTAGTCTTCTGGGAGCTATGAACAGAGCTCTGTGGTAAGACACATTTGCAGGCTGCTGCCTCTGGACCCCTCTGGGAGAGTCCCAGTGCATTTGAACCCATTAAAGGCTTTGAAGTCTCCTAGTTAAGAAACCTGGTCAATTTTGTCAAAATTGGCAATTTCCTAGCTTGTGTGACCATCGCTTTATTCATAAAATACCTATTAATATCCAGAGGGCTTAGTGCCTAGGAAACAGGATCACGTACCAGCCTGAAGATTTTGGGCTTTGGTAAAATATTTACATACCTTCATCACCTGTCACCTCGTCTCTACCTTGTGTGACTGAAGTTAAATTTTTATTTTATGCCAGTAGTTTTCTCTAGAAGAGTTGAAAATTAAAGTTTCCTGCACCTTAGCTTAGGATTTCAAATTGTCATCACTTGATGTGTTTTTTTTCCCTTTGTTTTTCTATTCCTTCTTGCTTACTCTCTCATGAAGTCATTTTGCTACCTCCCAACACGTCTTAGAGAACTTGAACACTCAATTCTTTTTTAATGTTCTTTGGCATATGTAGACAACCAGCCTGACCTTAGAAAAAAGATATTTTAATGATAATACTATCTTTTATGAGGCTTAAACTGTAGTCCAGGCCCGAAACCAGGACTAGGTTTAGTTGAAATTATTATATTTATTACTGATTCTGAGAAGATAGTAAGATAATTTTGGATTTAAAACTTTCATATTCATTAACATGATAAATGGCTGAAGCTAGATTGTTAATAAACCAGAAAATATTTTATTTCCTAAAAAGGAACACTAGTTTAATAACTATGGTCAATCAGTGATTTATTGAAATGTGGGTTTTAAGTATGTAAGTGAACAGAATTTGTTCAGATATATGCACCAAGATACATATAGGTTATTTCTTTGTACATCTAACGTGCATCTCTGCTTTTCTCAAGTCAGAGATGAGGTTGAGGTTTTCAGCATAAAAGGCAGCGCGGCTGCCCCTGCTTGTCCTGAGTACTGCTGTGACGTGAGCATCTGGATTAAGTTATACAAACGGCGCCCTGCAGTTAGGAAGAGGAATACATGCAAAGAAACAGGTCTTTTTCATACCGGAGGAAGCTTATGAAGTGAGCCCAGTAGGCTGTGCCACCCACCCCCCTTCTTTCCCTGTGGAGAGCCCTGGGGGCCAGGGCATGGCATTTTGGCTTCAGTCTAAAGAGGTGACACATTTTTTAAAAAGTGTTTGATACTATAAATGACTAAAAACCAATTAGAGGTCACTTTCACTGGAGAATGCAGGTTGGTGAAAGTTACTGGCTCTCTGTTAGAGTGCACACACAGAGTAAAACGCCATTCACAGAGTTAGTGCTTGCCCAGGAGGGCAGGTCTTTGCCAAGGGCCCATTTGGTGCTTTATTAGCTAATCTCTTTAATAGAGACAAGTCATGCCAACTTACTCTCTTCTTCTTCTTCTTCTTTTTTTTTAAGATTTATTTATGCAAACAGAACTGGGGTACAGGCCAGAGGTGCAGGGTGGTGAGAGGATTCACCAGAGACAGAGTGGGGAGCAGAACAGGCAGATTGTCAAAGTACACTGCCGAGGGGAGCAGCGGGCGGGTCAGGAGAGGTCTGCCGCACCCTGGGGGTCACCTCCAGGGTGGGGAATCGAACTCATGCTGAAGTGGCTTTAGCTTCTCAGTGCTGTGCTTTAACCCGCTGCGCCACCAGGGAGGACCTCATGCCAACTTTCTTAAGGGAAATGCGATAGAGCAACAGCTTCTGTGATTATCTATACTTAATATAGTTTTTTTTTTTTTTTGACACTATTACTACCACTTTGGATGAATTGGGGCTCTCGTAGACTAAAGTGCTAAGAATTTTTCCATTTACACTGCTAATTTCTCACCATATAAGTGAGAAATTATACACTGGCAGTGCCACGAGCACTGATCCAGCCCTGGGGGATGAGAGCACTTTGGAAGAAGCCATTTGTTCGTGTCTTTGTGTTTAGAGAGACCAAGTTTAGAGAAGGACTCCCATGAAGTCCCATGGGAGGGCTAACGTAGCCCATGAAAAGAGAACTTGTTACGGTGTGGATGAAAATGGACGTTCACTAAACATTCTGTGGTAATCATGTCACACTGTATGTACAGCAAGTCGTGCTGCACCTGAATCTTCAACAGAATGATGTGTCAGTTACATCCCAGTAGAACTGGAACAAAAAGTAGGGATCCAAAATTAATTAATACAGTAACTTTTCACTCTAAGAAACTGTCAGAAGAAAAGCAAGCTAAACCCAAAGCCAACAGAAGGAAATAATAGAGAGTAGAGAGAAATGAAAACGAGAGTAGAAAACAGTAGAGAAATCATGAAACCAAAGTTGGCTTTTTTAAAAATCATAAAATCAATAAGCCTTTAATGAGGCCAACAAAGAATATAAGTTTGTGTTACCTCTTGTCGAAATAGGTCTTTCTTTTAATTTAAACTTAGGTTCTGATAAATGAATCTCTTGCTATAGATAACATTGTTTTGAATTTAGCAAGGTTGAGTATTCAAGGAAAATGGACCTGTTTTGTGTAAGATTTTCCCCCTATATTGACTTTGGCAGGACATTTTACTGTATGTTCCCTAGTTGTAGAATTGGTTCATGACTCAGAGT